GTGTACTTGAGCAGCACCTTGTCCATGTCGGTGCTGGCGTACTGGAACAGCTTGTTGGAGTGGTTGAAGATGATGAGTGCGATCTCACAGTCACACAACACACTTAGCTCATACGCCTTCTTCATGAGCCCGAACTTCCGCTTGGTGAATGTCACCTGCAGGTGGGCGGGTGGGCAGCCAGATCTGGCTCAGTCAAGGCCTGTCTAGGAGTCCCCACCTATAGGCAGCTGGACACAGCCCCTTCTTGGGAGCCCCCATCTCAAGGTGACACAGCTCTCTTCTCAAGAGGCCCTGGCATGGGGAAGAAACAGGCCAGCACCCCTCTGCCAATACATGGCCACAGCATTAGCCCACAGCCAACTCACTGAAGGCAGAGGATTCAGATGGATGGACCTCCACACCTCTGTTCTGGGGACTATAACGAGGTCAGGGAAGGAGAACAGAAGGACTTCCTGGCTCTTTCCCTGGGGTAGGAAGAGGGAAGGATTCATCTTGGGAAAGGGGGCATGCCCAGGTGTGGCCTGAGGCTTGCATATGGTTCCTGGGCAGGGGCACAGATCTGTACGGTTGCAGCAGCAGCAGGAGTTCTGGGACACAGGGTTCTAAGAGCTGCAAGGAGGCGGGGGTTCCTCTTTTCCCAACTCAGTCCTTTCCCTTCCATAATAGCTTCCAGATTCCCCTTCCTCAGGAAGCCCTCTTAGAGTGGCTGCAAGAAACGGAGGCAGAGGCCAACTCCCTACCCTCATCCACACTGTGTGGCTCCAGGACTTCCTCACCTGTCGGTTCCGCTCATCGGTGATTCGCTGGATCTGAATCTTTTTCCTCCCCATTTTCTCCGGGGATCCTCAGTGCTAGGGAGGGGAGGGGATCGCTGGGTGGCGGGTCTCAGCACACCTCACACTGTGCTCATGAACGGTCTGGGACCAGTGCTCAGTTCATGGTCTGCAGGACACCTTCTGCACAGCCTCCTGGGAAGGGAGGGTCATGAGAGAACTGTCAGTCCTAGAAACCCTCAGCCCTGCTCCTTGGGCACACAGGCCAGGTCCACAGCACCTCTGGGAGAGGCTGTCAGCATCTAAGCCCCATCCTCAAAATGAGAACATGGTGGCAACCTGAGGAGATAGCCTACCACAGCCAGGCACAAGCTGGCCCTCACACTCAGAGCCCAGGACTCTTGCCCAGGCCTTTTCCACACCATCACTGCTGCCCTCAAGTTCCAGGTCAGATAGAGTACATGGAGCTTCCTGGCTTCCAAGGGTCTAGGTCTTAGCAAACACCCCACCCACTTTCTTCTCCCAGGGTAGAGACACCTGGGCTCACCAGCTGTCCTTCTGGCCTAGAATGGTGGTTCTTGTGCTAGAGCTTAGTGCACAGAATGTGCTCAGTGAACACCTGCCAAGTCCATGAACAGCTGGTACAGTTTACCTGGTACTACAATGGGAGTGTTTCTGCATCCCTGTATCAAGAACATGCCAGAGCCCTGGCCAGTGTGGCTCAGTTGGTTGGGCATCATCTCATGCACCAAAAGGTTGCTGGTTTGATTCCTGGTCAGGGCACATGCCCGAGCTGTAGGCTAGATTCCCCAGTTGGGGGCGTGAAGGAGGCAGCCAGTCAAATTTTCATTCTTATATCGATGTTTCTCTTTCCCTCTCTCTCTCTAAAAATTAATTTTAAAATATTTTTTTTTAAAAAGAACATATCAAAGCAGGTCTAGAGCTGCAGACCCCCCTATCTCTTCAACCACTTCCACACCAGTCCATTTTGTTCAGTGGCTTAAGCTTACAATTTTTTTGAAGGATTCTGCTGCTATAAAATCAGTCAATCAATCAATCAATCAACCAACCAATCAATCAATAAATCACCCCTCTAGACCAGAGGTTGGCAATTTTTTTCTGTGAAGGGCCAAATAACAAATATTGCAGGCTTTGCAGGCCATACAGTCTCTGTTGTAACTACTAAACTCTGCCATTGTAGCATGAAAGCAGCTGTAGACAACACATAAATGAATGAGTGTGGCTGTGCTCTAATAAAACTAGATTTATATGAATAAGCATGGGCCACAGTTTGCTGATTCCTACTCTAAAGGAATGGGTCGAAGTCTAGAACACAGCTCAGCCTGAATAGTGCTTCCCAACCATGCTCACCTTGAAGCACAAAGAAAATACAGAGCCTACTACTGATGTACGCAAAGGAGGCTGCTAGAAGCCAGGGGGATGCAGGCACCAGGTGGGGATCTCTGTCTCAGTACACCTATAAACCAGTCATGACCTACCAGTTGAACAGCTCCAATTCCAGGGCCAGGATGGGAAATGGAGTCCCTGTACTGTACAACTCTGGAGGTACCCTGGGATGGGAGGGGACACAGGAGTGAAAGCCCAGTCTGATCCTGAAAAGGTGCAAGCTTTCAGCTGTGGGCAGTGCCCAAACAAGCTGGGTGAGCCCTTGGGGGCTAGACGCACAAGATAATCCAAGGGTCCCAGGGGTGGAGCCTTCTGGGAGATGGTGGAAGGGGCAGTGAGCATGGGGCTCATGCTTTCTAAAGCCTCTCTGACTGCGTCCTGAGAGGAGTCCAGACCGTAGGAACCCACAGCACTTCCCCCCAGAGTTCCCCTCCTACAGAGCCCCTGCCAGGTGTTGCTGGGGTGTTTGGTGACAAATGCCTGTTATTAGGAACCCCCTCCCAAGTCCCCATTTCCAATGGCTGAGCCTTTCCAGCTCCACTCAACTGTGGCACCCAAGGTTCCATAGCTGCTGAAGCTCAGCATCAGCATCTCAGCATGGGGGAGGGAAGGCAGGGAATCTGTGGACTTGGGAGGATCCAGGAATACCCTTCTCCACTCTCCCATTACCAGGACTGTTGCTCAGGCCTTCCCTCACCCAGCTGGAAAGAGAGCTTCTATTCTGTCTCGATAACTTCAGAAAGCAATGTAGTTCCCTTCTCACTCCTAGAAGGACCCTCTCCCCCTCTCCCCCAGAGACAGATCTTCCCCTCTTCCTTGTTCTCAACCTGCTTCCATGGGGCCGGGGCCTCCTACTGCCACCCCTACAAGGGCCCTAGGACACCACCAACATAATCCCAGCCAACCCTGAGTGGCCCAGCAGATACCAGGCCCAGAACCACTCTATCCCCCCACCATTCCTTGATTGTAACTTCAATCTCTGCCAAACCCCCACTGCAAAGGCTCCAGCCTAAGGAGTTCAGCTCCCCTGTGTCCCCATGTAATCCAAAGGCTGTATTTTCCAGAACTTGGCAGGGGAGGTGAGGAGGGCACACTGAGGGCAGGGGAGTGGGGCTAAGAAAAGGTTTTTTTAAACAGAATTTTCTGGCCTGCCTTGGAGACCCCAATCCAGATTGGTAAATGAAATGCAGTCACTATAGCATTCCTCTGGCTTATAGCACCTAACTGCCCTCCCTTTCCTATTTTACTATCTCCTTCTCACCACCCTTGTTCACAAGCAAATTCTTGCTGAGATGTAACCTCTGTCAACGTGTGGCCAATACTATGTCTTCCTCCAAGTTGGGAGAGAACACACTTAGCTCTCATGACACTCAGAAAAGCCATTCCTGCAAGCCAACCTCACTACTTTGGTTCCCCCAATTGCTTACTCTCAGGGTATCTTGTTCTTTTCTTTCTAGCACTTATCATGACTCTAAATTATTATAATTCTGTGCTTCTATTTAATGCCTGGGCCCCCTATGAAACTAAAGCTTCATGAGGGCAGGAATCACATTTGTCTTTTTCACCACTCTATCTCCTGTAAGGAGGAGCTCAGGAAATATCTGTTGAAAGGAAGAAAGAATTGTTTCATCTTTGTGATCCTGTGAGAAGTCCTTCTTGTGGTCCCTTGTGGTCCTTCAATCCGTCCTGCTACAGAACCAGCTACCTGAAGCTTGTCCGTTTGGAAACCATCTACCTTCCAACCACCTCTGCCCGTCTAGTCCTCAACCCTCTCCACCCTTTGGGTTGGCTGGTACAGAGGGTGAGACTAAGTCTTCTAAGGAGCAGCCCTGAGCACATGGATATGGAGAGGATGGGGTTGCTTAGGCAACCGTCGCCTGGCAACGAGCTCCCTGGCTGATCTCCTACACCCCCCCCACCCCCGCCTCATGCTGGGGGAGCTGGGATGCTAGAGGGATCAGGGCTGAGAAGACAGGGAAGCCACAGAGACCCATCCAACACCTCTGACAGGGAATTCAGGGCATCATCTATCCCCAGTCCCTGCCAAGGTAGCCCAAAGCACTTTTTATAATTCCATGTTGTCGTGGCTCCTTCCCCATTGCCCCTCCTATCTTTGTGCCAACACTGCCAGAGGAGGAGATGCCCCTACCTTGGGCAGTCCTTCCTCCTATCTAACCAGGAGCCTTCCTACAAAGCAGGCTCAGTCTGTACCAATCTCTGTCCTCTCTGCTGTCCATTCTACATTGTTGCAGTCTTAGAAAGCCCTGGGGCAAGAACATGAACTCACCCCTGACTTTGGAAGAAGGGGTGGCTGGGGCATGGATGGGCACAAAGGACCCTAAACTGACCCTATCCAAGGCATGGAGGCCTATCCTGTCCAAGCTTCCTTCCCACACAATTAGCAACATTTTAATGAACACCTGGAGCTCCTTAATTAGCCATCTACCTAATTACCTAACCAGCTTCCAGGAGCCAGAGGCCTTGGCATTTGTTCTCCAGATGTTAGCCTTTTCTCCCTGGCCTGCCCTGGCCCCATTCCTCTTTTCTTTTCCCACCTGCTCCTCCTCTAGGAAGCCCTCCCAGATGAACTGGCTTTTGGCTACTTCTCCTGGAGCCCAAGGCTTGGGAGGGCTTAGAGCTGCCATGGGGGTTGGCCAGGATGGCCTTCATGCCCTGATGGCCCCAGGGCCTGCCCAATCCTGACCTCAGGCCACAGTTATGACCTGTTTGGCTGGCTGCATCTGTGTCACCCAAAGTACCCCCCTGGAACTCTCCAGCTGCTTCTGATTCACCCACTGAAGCAGTGCTGGCAGGACAGGATGGGGCAGGGGGACCTCCTGAGGGTGGGGAGTGGGGCAGGGAGAGGTAGAGCCTTTCCAGTGGAGAGAGAAGCAAAGAGGGAGACAGGTTGGCAGCTGGGCTGCAGAGAAGCCTTTGTAAGTGGAGAGCAGAGAGGACGAAGGGTGGGAGGCTCATCTGACAACATTCTGGACAAGGAGGAGGGGCTGAGGGGACTAGAGACTTGGGAGATCCAGAAGGATCCCATGGACAGCCATTTTTCCAAGCTGTGCTACAGACTCAGTAGGAACACGTGGGTTGTATTAACATGCAAATGAGGCACAGCTAATATGCAAAATGTACCCTAAAGGGGGTCTTGGTTTAGAGGGGGCAAGGGAGAAGCAGCAGACCTCAGCCTCCTCTAATGTAACACCTCCTGGTACCTGAGCAATATTCAAACCATTCTTGGGGTTTCAGAATGATGCTATCTCAGTTCCTGTGTGAGGATGGCCTGGGGCCAGTGGGGGTGGGGGAGCAGTCAGGACAGTCTCCTGGAGCACAGTTGTGTTAGGGGCTGCCCTTCCTGGGGAGCCACAGAAATGCCTTCCAAGGGCTAGTGTCAGAGGGATACATGCCTCCCCTTCTCCCCATACCCTTCCACCCATATCTGTCCTCTGTCCCACAGACTCAGAAGAAATACAAGGCACCTGCTTTCACAGCTGCCACACCAGCACTGGTCAAATGGGGCAAATATGCCCAGAGAGGCTGAGTGAGCAGTGCCTGTCACAGAGCAATGGTTTCAAACCCTGCTCTTCCACACGGTGAGAAAGGCAGCTCTCATTAAGTGGGCCTTTTATCTCTCCCTCCCAGGCTGC